AAAAAAAATTATAATTACTTTAATAAATGGGCTCAAGCATTGGCAAGTCCAATTTTACCTTCCTTCCAATATAAGTGTTGTTTTTAAAAGAGAAGAGATATGCAATGTTTTCTTCAACTTCTTATGTGAGATAAGTTGTAAAATCCTTTGCAATTTATATATTTAATAATTGTTCACTTTTTTCTTTCTATCAAACAAATTTTGACCCCAAAAGCACAAATAATTTCAATTTTAACAAAGCAAATTAATTTAGACACAACAATTGTTAGTTTTTGATGTTTTAAAATAAATTATAGGATAATAAATCATTAAATCTAATTGACAAATATTGATTTATATTACTTTGAATTTGTAATACTACAATTTAAAATTTTGTTATTGTTATAATATTTTAGAGTTTGTTAGAGTATTTATTTATTTAATTTTGATATCCGGTTTGACTTTGAGTGGACCCCGGTTCGACCGTTTGACCCTTTTTTTTCGAGTCGATGTCCGAGTCGATTTTTAAAATATTGTTCAAAACTGATTTATCAATACATAAAATATCAATTTCAATGACGTTCTCCAATGTTTTCTCCTTTACTGGGAAAAATATCAAATGTCATATCTTGTGACTGGATATCCATAAAAAATTTCACTTAAGTACCATTTCACTTAAGTACCTTAAGTACCCTTTTCTTGGACTACATAAATGTCATTAAGACCTATCTCATTTTCAATAGACTCACGTTCTCGAACTCATTATCGAGAATATGTATAATTCATTATGAGTCTATGATAACCCATATTTGGTTATATGAGTCTATGATAACCCATATTTGGTTATCTACGTGTCAAAAACTTATATATTCTGGAGGTACCAACATTGAGAGAACTCCATTAACTAACACATTGTAGTTAGCCTACGCTATTTCCAAAAGTAAATACATAAGTTGGATTGTATATCTCTAACTTCATCATATTCAGCAATATTTCATTCCTTCAAATCAAATACATCATATAATTATTGGTGATTAAGTAATAGTCTATCAAATAAGAATCTCTTTCATTACATAGATCACTGATATCTCGTGATATAGATTCACGCCATTAGATGATTCTCAAAGTCTTCACTTCCACAGTTTGATTTTCTACTCGACTTCAAAAAATTCTAAACCAATCAACTTAAGAAAATCTGAGGCATATCTGAAATGCATGAATCCATCTATAAATGTAATAAAAAGTAAAGTTCCATCTCTATCTCGTTTAATCACAGTTTGTAAAGAAATTTGGACGTATTTATTCTATGGAAATTTAGTTCTTACATTTTTGAATGATTTTCTCAATTCAAAACGTTAATTCACTACACAAATATCCAGAACCATAATAAATATCGCTACTGTGAGTACGAACAGAACTACCACATACAAATTCAAGTAGGAGACCACTCTTCAAAAAACAATAATTGAGATCAAATTCAGTGGAGTTTTTTTTTTTTAATTTTTTTTTATATCATCTTAATATCGAATAGGAGGTTAGTTTCTCTACTTTGCAATACTAAGTTGCAGTATCAATCAGATAAACATCCACTTTATCTTTATTATTTGTATATGTTTACTTTGTATCAAGTCAAAGACTCGACAATAGAATGATATACTTTTTGATCTCATATAAAGTGAGTTTCTAACCCTTGAATCCACTATCTACACAACATAAGATTCAATATGTATAGTGTTGACACTTAAACAACATTAAGAGGAATATATTCAAATGCGGGATCTTTTAACTAAACCACTTTCGAGCTAAGAGATTCAAATCGTATAGTTGAAGCACTTGAACATTTATAGCATTGATCCTCTACTAAAACTACTTTCATTCACTAATTATCCAATATGTTCTTCTTGTTCC